ATAGTCGCTGTCCATGGTGCCATTTCCCCACTCTTGGATATTCATGGAGCACAGGGAGGGAGATTGTAAGGTTTAGAGCAATATACATTATTTGAAAATGTCCTTTGATGGAGCCAATTTTTGTCTATTGGTTACAACTGGAACTGGTCTCGCAAATACACTGGTCCTGAGCCATGTAGGGCTTTAAAGGTAATGACCAACACCTTGAATTGCGTTCGGAGACCAATTGGCAGCCAGTGCAGCTCGCGGAGGACAGGTGTAATATGGGGGTATCTCGGTACCCCCAATATCGCTCGCGCTGCTGCATTCTGGACTAGCTGTAGTCTCCGAACACTTTTCAGGGGTAGCACTGACACAGTGATGGGTTTCTTCTGCTCATAGGCCTGAAAGAAAAGGAAGTTGAACCAACATGAAATTGGGGCTGTGTTGTATAAGTCTAGAGAACACTGGATGCTTCTAGATGACGAATTCTCAACCAGCTGATTCTTCCATAAAATCTACCCAAGATTGACCTGGATTGTCTTGACTGTTTGCAGCTCTGTTTTTCTTTTCTTTTCTTCCTTCCTGTCATTCATCGTCCAAATGAAATGATCTGGGGCTGAAACTGACCTAGTTAACTAACAATAGACCCAACTGTCTGTCCAGGCTGTTTCCAGTTTCAATTTTTCATGGCTAGTCAGTTTTCAGGGAGAGCAAACAGCTTTGAAGCAGAAGTTTTCCATTCATGGAAACAATGAGGATATGCTGAGATTTAGAACAAGTCTAACATTGTTGAAGAGGGCTCATTGTGTTGCAAAACGTGGATGGCATCTTCATCTCGTAACCCTCTTTGTTAAGGGATGAAATTACGGCTACCAAGGTACACAAAGGATTGTATTTACCGATAGTTTAAGATCCGGCAAGGGCCTCTGCCCCTGACTTTAAGATAGATGTTCTTGAACAAAGGAGCTACCGAAGCAGATTTAACTATGAAACAGTTGAATTACTGTAGAGGAATAGGTTAAATTTTGTTTGTTGTGGCTTGAATAGGAACCAACCAGGAGTGGGATTTGGGGGTTCTCCGAACTGCGCAGAATCTTAGCTAGAGGTTCTCCCTAACCCCTGCGAACCCCCAGCAGCCCATTCCTGGTCCTTATGATGATTTGTATGATTCTTCACTCAAGAAGACATCTTCTTGTCCATCTAAATGAGTGGCAGTTGTATTTTGTGTCGTATCTCGTATAAAGATATAATTCTAGATGATATCAATAAGTGCACCAAGAAAATTACTAAAAGTATACTGTCAACAATCAGTATAACATTATTAAAATATTGACCAAAGTATAATGAGTTATTTTTATGATAGGAAATACACACAGACACACAAACACACACAAGGTGTTGGTCAACATGTGAGCAGGGAGAGGAGTTTCCCGCCAAGGCCAACTGTCCGGCATACCAACCTGATGATGATTTTTGAAGATGTCTCCCACATGACACCTGTGGAGTAATTGGATTGGACTATGGGCTGGGGTTACCAAGGGGAGGGGAATGGGTCATACATTGATATCTATATTTGTGCGCGCTTTTATCTCAGATCCAGCTTTGCTTAGCTACTATCTACTTATAACCAGTAAAAGTACTCTTAATTCTGCAAAATGGAGTTGAGTGGTTTCTTTCTTGGTTATTAAGTGAAGCAGTCCTGACAGTATTATTGATAATTTGACATGGTGCTGAGACTGTTTCATTGTTTTCAAAAAGTAGATGATGACTGGAGGGGGAAAAAATGGAAGGCACATGGAACCT